CAAGGCCGCCTGGTTCGAAGACCTCTAAAGCCACTGCTGCTGCCTCTTCCTCGGTCGGGTCTAGGTGCCGTTCAGTCCCTCCTTTTCGGAGTGTCTAAGGCGAAGGAGAAAGGGCGTTCAGGGGACACTGAGAAAGACAGCACAGTGCCGGAGGATAGTAGCTATAGATATAGTAGGGGTCTAGGGATTCCCTACATGGATCAGGTGTCATATCCAGAAAGATAGAGCTAAGTACAGGCAATTAAGAAAAAATAAAAGCGCAACCCCATAAGCCCGCTCTACGTCAAATTCAGACTCCAAATGGAACGGTGTATGACTGGATCCAAGATCTTCGGCACCCTTGGCATCAATTTTGCTGTGGGAAGCAGCCAAGCTGCTCTCGTAGGTTTTCGCCATGGCCCATTTGGACACAAAGTACACTAGATCCTACACGAATGGCCTGGCCTAGCTTCGATAATAACGGATGTTCTCTTACTGGATGCTCGAATGGCGCTTCTCCAGCGCGTTGTTCCAATGCTCAGTTCGAGCGGGCGGTTTTTAGCTGCCAAGTTGCAAGGTCAGCCTGCGCGACGGTCTCAGTCCTTACAGGTGGCTGAAACGGAACGAGGAAGGCGGAACGCACGCGGGTTAACGGATCAGATGGATCGACAGAAAAGCGCGTCTGGCGGCTTTTTCGTGTGTCAAAAAACAACAGGAGAAAGAAATGAACCATCTTGTTTTTCATCATCTGGAAAGTGAACTTATATGAGAACTGATGAGAACTTGCATGTCCAAAGCTTTGGAACTGATGACACCACCAACCACCGCTACCGTCTTCACCATCGCTGGAGGAACACACACCGTCCTCACACGTCTCTTCCGGTTCTTTTGCACCTCGGGCGGCGGAACGGTCCACGTGTCCTTCGGGTCCCAAGAAGTGGACCATGAGCCGAGCAGTTCAGGACATAAGGCTCATGGGTCGGCGGTGGTCCAACTACTTTCCTTACAAAGGTCGGCGATCACGATTCCTTGGGATGACCCTTCGCTGGTCCATTTCTGCGCGACGAAACGAGCCGCTAAGTTCGCGGGCGGTGCTTTCTTCTTGAGCGTCCTCATGGCAACGAAGTCGTACACAAACGCGTTTACTTCCGTTAGCGACGTCCAGTGCCTTATGGCACGTGGAACTGATTTCTGTACGCGCCTTCTTTGATGATCTTGTTGTGAAGAATGCTTCATGACTTCAGAGACGTCGAATCTTTGACCCACCAACCTCCCCTTCTTCTATGTTTTTGCCCGGACGGGCCTCAACGGCACCAGCCTCAGATCGGGTGGGTTCAGCCATTCACCACAAGAAAAAAGATTCCGGAAACCCTCCAAGCTCTCCACTGCGATCAGCTTTTCCACGATCTGGCCGGACCAAGGCACTGCTTCGTGTCCGGTTTCGATGGGCTAAGACTTGTCCAAATCAATTGAGCCTCACCATTCCAACATGCTCCACCCATTCGACCCATTCGCGGCATTCGTCCAGCTGAGCTATCTCTTGAGCTGAGTAGAACCATGTAAACTCAGCGCCTCCTGGTGGTTCAGGTCTTTGGCATAGGACAGGGCGCTGTTGCCCTGGCTGAGTTGCGGCGTTCCGCTCCCCGCGATCCGAACTCCTCCGTTCTCCGTCGTGCGGTATTCACGAGTGCAGTGTGGCCTGGTAGTCTTCCGCGCCCGGATTGGCCTGTTTCTCCAATAAGACCTTGGGAACTGCTGCGGCCGTGGGAAGCAACTGTTGCACTTGTTGGGTCGAAAAGATGTGCTCTTTATTTGCAAAAAAAACAGAGCAAAGGCATACAAAGACCAATGGTCTCCGACGGTCTCGGCTGTCCTTAGCATCCCTCATCCCCTTCTTCGTTTCGCGCCGGCTTCAGCGCGGCTTCAGCCCGCGCTGAAGCCGGAGGTTAAGGCACCGACTTGGAGGCCGGCCATGTTGCCAGTGCCAGCTGCAAACATCAAGGCCTCCGGCCGATCGCTGTCGATGCCAATCCCAGCCAATCCCTTCGATCCGCCAGAATGGTCGACGGTCGTCCACCGGTCGAAGTCGAAGGGCCGAAAAGGGGGGGGGTCAGTGTCCGCCTGGGAGAGTGGAATTTGAGAACCCATGTTGGCTTGGTCGAATCCCTTCAGCCCGGCTCAAACACACGTCCGTGCCTCAACACGACCCGTTTTGATGTGTTTCAATCACCTGTGGGGGGTGTGGGTTATGGCACTAGAAAAAAAAAAACTGGTTGGCCGAAATATGAACAGACTAGACTACCATGGTCAACCTACCAGGATGAAATTTGCTTCTGACTGCCAGTGCTCATGATCACTCGTGTCCACTACCAAATGCCTGGCTCCGGTCCAGCGGTGCAACTCCGACAGGAAACCGCAGGCGGTGCCAAAGCCAAATGGAATGCCCCCTCTGAAGAGGGCGGCTAGATTGACTAAGGTTCCAGCAGTGCAGCCATTGTGGTCTCTTGCTTCAGTCATGGCGCCACCATTCAACAAGAGCCGCAAGATGTCTGCCTAGAACATGAGTGATTTGGCCATCGGATTTCAGTGATTTAGATGTTATTTCAGGATGTATATGTATAATTAGTGATTTAAGGTCTTCAAGGTTGCGTGATACTCCAGGGTTGAGGAATTCGTGATGGCCATGCTTGATGACACCCCCAGCAAGCCTGTAAAACCCTGTTTCGGCGGAATCTTTTCGTGCCTGCGAATGGCGAGCTGCATGGTGCAAGGCAGTTTTCTGCGTATCATCCAGCGCATTCACATAGACCTGGCACTGAGCTGCCTGCTTTGAGCACCAGTGGATTTGAAGCTCAGCTTAAACTGCTCGCCATCGGTGCGAAATATGGTCATTGACTCATGGTTGGGTCCATGGAAAAGCAACATGTCCAAGACATCTATCTTACCAGTGACAAGTATGACCTGGCATAAACCACAAAAAAACCTCAAACACCTCACATATATATATATATATATATCTGTGATCCCCGGCCTCGTCTTTGCTGAGCAGAAACTCCACCTCACCAAATAGAAAGAAACGCAACTCACTACCCCCCGTCCTCGTCCTCGTCCGTCCGTCCTCTGTCGTCCGGTTGCTCCGGGGCGTCCGGGCGATGTTGACCGACCCAAACGCCGCGGCATAGATCAAGGGCGTCCGGCCGCGCACGTCACAGCAGTCCAGCGGGCTGTCGCGGCGCCTGGCGCGGGTCGAACTCACGTGACTGGAGGGAGGGGGGGGCGAAGAGAAACGGTGAAGAAATGCCAAGCTTTTCGCGGGAAACGGTGAAAAGGCTTGCTTGCAGGTCGCGGGATGAGAGCCAACTCGACCTTGGAGATTCCGTATGGATGGACCCGGTCGGGCCCTCAACCGCCTGGATGGAGAGATTGGGGTCTCATCGCCCTCGCGAGCCACGGCCTGGGCGCGCGTCCCATGTGACCCAAGCTCCAGCACGCCCGACGGAAAAGGAATCCATCGCCCAAGTTTCATCGGCCCAGGCCGTCATCGGGGGGAACCCGCCTCGGCAATCTCCTTGAACTTTTGAAACTCCCCAGACCTCGAGAACGAAAGGGCTGAAGGGCCATGAAGGACCCGGAACTCTTACCGTTTTGAAAGGAACCAGGTACTGAGAAAAAAACAAAGGGACGAAGGCGACGAAGGGATGAGAAGAGAGACAAACTGAGTGATGAATCTTCAGACTTGCACTGCTCTCCTCTTACTTTGAGACGAGCCTCTCGACTTGACAAACCTGCATAGACCGGAAAATGGACTTGCCTGCCAGCCCTTCAGCCTTCATTTTCCACTGATCCACCTGTCATACACGAAGACCTAAATATTCCCATCATACATTGACCATCATCGACCGATGTCACTGATTTTACGACTTTTTGACTCCCCTCCATTTCACCCTACCGCTGATTTCCGACCTCGTAGTCTCTGCTAAATTCATGCCTTCAAGAAAAAAACTGGGTGACCTGCCGCTGACCCAGAGCCGACCTCCAACAGCCTCCCATCCCCAAACCCTGCTCTTGAAACGGCTCCGCCTGGCCGACTGCAGCAGACCAATGGCCTGGGCCGCTTGGGAGTCTACTCAGCTCCGGAGCTGCAGCTCCGGTTTGCCAATCCAAGTGAAGCAAGTCCCGGGGAATTGACTTTGATCCATGTGTGTTTTGTTAAGAATCAAGTCAGCTATCATGGCTGAGTACCTGCACAGCTGTTCGAAAAACCTCCTTGAATCAAATCTTCTACAAATGAATAGAACGAGTACCTTCCACCCACTCTTTTTCATCTCTTGGGCGCTTCATCTGATCAGCTATCACAGCGTCTCCCGTCACGCAGACCGACCGTCCGCACCAGATTGGCTTGCTTCTTCGAGCCGCCCTCGTCCACCGTCTCTTTGACCTGATGCTCCACCGTGACCCGCGTCGGGTGTCCGATGGTCCATCCATCCATGCGCCATCCGCACATCCTACGACCCTGACGCGTGGAACCCTGACTCACGAGAACACTGGTGCGCAAGTGACGGTACAACTCCCCACGTCCACGGCCCTCTGGTAACCCAGGACGGCGGTCCGGAAGCGTTTTCTTTTCGTGTTCACTGAGGTCTATTCCTTGGGCCTCGTGGTGGAAGTACCTGCTATCCTGCCACAAGGGGTGGGCAGGCTCGAGTAGCAACCCTTTGATGTTGCTTTGGGTGATTCCCCTCAAGATATCTGGTGGCATGAAATGATAATCGTGGTCCTAGCTGAAATCCAAGAAGAAACATAGGGCAAAACCAGCAACTGCCACTGTTGCCATTCTCACAAGAGAAAATAAACAAGCACATCCTTGCTCTCCGCTCCTTACCAGCACATTGCCCTTGGAGTCGCATAAACTGGCCTCAGGTGTGTTTCTTGTCTAGCCTGGCTCAGATCCGCCCCGCTGAAGATCGCAATGCTCATGGCTGGTCCCAACAGCCAAAAAATCTGAGAACCAAGCCCATCCTTCCATCCTCCCTTCTTTGGGCCTGAAAAATTGCCCGCCAATTTCTTTGAAAAACGAAAAAGCACCCTGAAGAGTGGATGAATATGGAGGAATCACAAGGCAGAGATTAGCAAAGCTGGGCAGTTTTGGATACTCCACATTTGAATTGAAGGAATAAGCCGAAGCTCCCGTTTTGTTTCAGCGCCTACTCTTGACAAATGGCCGAGCACTTGGACAGATTGCACAATTCCGCACAAGTTGGCTGGTCTTGCATCTGGTTGAAACCGTTCGACCCATCTTCTGCGTCACGCACTGTGAAGACTCCAGTGTCGAAATCTTCGCTCGCCTGGCCAGAAAGCGAAGATGAGGTGCTCTCAAGCGGGCGAGCGGGTGGTAGAAAGCAAGGTGCAGCGGGCGAAATCTTTCGGCGGCCTGGTCATCACATGGGCACCACCTGCTTCTAGAGAAAAACGAGCAAAGCCTTTCAAGGGACCATCAAGGGATCCACTTCCATGGTGTTCGTCACAAGTGACGGAATGCCTGGGCGCCCCCAGGGCCCCGTCCAGTTCGACCAAAAAAGGGGTCCGTCTGGTTCGTGTGGACCCGGTCAGTCCGGGTCAATCGGGTCAATCGGGTCAGACCGTTCTTGAAAGAGTCGACTGGACGTCGATGAGGTAACTGGCTTTTTTCATAGGAGGTGACAACTAATGACGTCGTTGGTCAACCCAACCGGATGCATCCACATCGCGTTGAGATCCCTTTTGGGATCTTTTTCGGGTATCGGTGTCATTGTCTGCAAGCTTCCAAACCCACTCTGCTGTGGCAACACATGGCAACACCAAAGGTTGCAAACTTGTGGTAGTTCATTTGGAGTGCCAGCCTGCTGAAGTAAACCATTTGCAAAAAGGTTAGCATCTAGCCCCATGTCCTCCAAGCAGCTCATTCTCTTGGGCTTTCAGAGGTCTGCCCCCTCCAACCAACCTCCCATCACCTCCCCAATGTTCACATGTCTTTCCGCTCCACACTCTTTCGCGCAATTTGCATGCGTCTTCCCACCTCAGAGCTCCTTGGGGCCTAGGTCGTTCGCAAGGTGGATTTGTTGTTAAGTGGTTAGAGGTTGGCAAGAGCTGCAGGTCAACTTGTCAACGTTTCTATCTATTTAGGAGGTCATTAGAATGGAATCCAAACGGTTTGGTCTAAAAATCTGAGATGCTTGCTCCGCCAGCACCTCCAGAACGGTGATCCTCGCGAACTTCTGCGCTCTCAAGAGAATAAAGGCGCTGGGGATGCGACAGAGCCCGATTTTTGAGAAAAATCAGTTCATGAACTTGCATAGGAGGCCATCGTTACTAGGGTGGAGGCCATCCCTGGCCCTGGCTGGGTAGACTGGTCTGTGGGAGGTCTCCTATTTTTATGCACACCCATTAGTGAATGGTAAGAGTACTTTGTGAAGTATCATGGAAGAAGCCATGTGGTCAGTGCAGCATGGCGCCCAGCTGCGGTCAGCGAGGTCGAAGGACGTCACGTGAGAGAAGGCACAAAAAAACAGATTCAAAAACTGAGACGGCTGACGGCCTCTGTCTTAACCCAGGCTTATACTACCCCTCAAGTAGATCTGGTTCTGACTGCCTGCACTGCTTGGACTGACGTGCCACGAGCCTCGTGTGCGGTGGCAGCTGCCCCACGCATTCACCTTAGCTCGTTTCATCTGATGCCCTTCGTTTCGTTTCGTTTCGTTTCGTTCCTGTCGGGGCTGCCAGGCATACGAATACCCTCATGAATACCATGCATGTTTGAACACATCTTGCTTCTTGTTCCCCCACCGAAACATTTCGATGCACGACATGGACAACGAGAGTCTCCGATCTGCCCCGCCCATCTCCGCCGAAACGCGAGGCGGTCGTTTCATTCAGAGGAAAGGCGCTGCTCAAGGCCTCCCCTGCACGAAGGGTCATCAAGCGAAGGGTCTCCAGCTGTGATCCCTTCATCACCTGGTGAGAGGGGGGAGGCTTCGTGGTTGGCTTCCCTCCATTTGCCGGCCCACCTCTCTGAGGGGCCATGGGACTCTGCAGCTCAAAGGTTGGGTTGGATCTTGGGGGTCCACCATTTCTACGACCGAAATGGTCGTGATGGAAGGTGTCCCATCAGCTTGCCTATATGCGTTGCCAAAAAATGTCCCAAAATCTACTGTGAGCGCAAGGCATACTTTGAGAGTCCAGATGTATTGTTTCCAAATTGTCATAGATACCTCTCACTGTGCTTGGCCAATAATTTGCTTGGCTGCAGTGAGTCGGTGTGAGCTGAAGCCCTGGGAACTCGGGCATCTTCCAAGCGAGTGGAACGGCTCACCTGACGGGTCAATGAGAAAAGGAAGCTAGCTATAAACCTGCTAACGTCCGAGTTGGGAAGACTAGCTATAAACATTGCTAATCTGAATCATTCTGAATCTACATGAAAAAACAGACCACGAAATAGGAGTCATAGTTTTGAGCCACCCCAGAAAAGAAACGCCTATGTGTATGACAAGATTCCTTGAAGAATTGCAATACTGCCAACCGGAGACGAGACATGTTCAAGAGCCGACAACATCTCCCGGAAAATGAGAGAGAAAACATAATGAAACCCGAAAAAGCAGATGAAATCAGCAGGCATCAAACTAGCACCACTACTGTGGAGCGTTTATTAAAGGCCGTTTGGAACGGCGCGACGCACGAACGTCGCAAGGTGCGACCGCGTTCGCGTTCGCAGCCTTGTTGGCCTCCATGCCAACAAGCGCTTGGCCCCCGGTATTGCGAACAGTGATCCAGCCTGGTCAGCTGTCGGCATGTTCACTGGCTTTTCACCCCCCCCCACATCGGGGCAATGGGTGAATTTGGGGGATAAAGCCTTGGTATTCACCAATGAGCTGGGCTGAATGCTTGATGTTTCTTTGTTGGATCAAAACATTGAACTATATGCTTGTGCATCTGGTGCCTTGCATTGAAGCAGACTTCACTTCTGCTCGGAGGAGTTCTCCTGGTTTGGCATTGGACAGCTGAAGCACCTGCCATCCGACTTGACGGTCAAACCTGTCATCCACCTCAAATCGCTTCGACATCTTGCAATCGCTTGGAAAGCTCATGCATTTCATAGCATCCAAAGCCAAGGACCTCCCATGACTCAAAAAAAAACTGTCCAAAACTGTCCCACAGCCAAAAAAGAATTCCTCGCCTTGAGTTGGCTCCCCACATTGAAGTGCCCCAGGATTTGGCTGGAGAGGCTGTCCTCTTGTCTGACCGTCACCTGAGCTCGACGCCCTGAAAAAGAACCAACAGTATCTCACATCCTCTGTGGCCCGTCAAAAGCGCCGTAGCGCCTTCAGAATTTCAGCACCTTCGATAATAATACAGGTAATTCCTCCATGATCCTCCACGTCTGTAGATGTTTGAGCCAGTCATGGAGTCTGAACAGCTTAGTAGCGCCATTACTATGGCTCCGGGCCACGGCCAAGGTCACACAGGAAGAACCCTGTCGGTCGTGGAGACATGTTGCTTTCTTCAAAGGCAACAAGCGACCGAGTGTGACTTTAGTGGCCACAGTTTAGAGCCAAGACACGTTGTGAGGCCATCAGAACAGGGAAGACACCCAAAGAAAAAAAACAGCCATTAGCCAGGGCTCTAAAAGCAACTGTTGTTCTTCTGTGTTCAATCACCCCAAATGACCCAAGTGAACCCATTTCATTGCAATTTCTCCACTCCTCGTCGGCTAAGGGACCCGCCGAGGCGTCAGGATCCGTTCCTCTGTGACTCTTCGGCGCCTGCGTCAGCTCGTCCATGCTGCGACCTGCGACGGACGGCGACCGACGGCGACCGAACCAGGCGGTGAACCGGGCGGCGCCGGGCCTGGTAGAACCGGCGCAGGTCGACCCAGGGCTACGCTTGGAGACGTGATGAAGATCTAAAGTCTATGGTACTCATGTTGTTCCGAAATGTTCATGAGCAGCTTGGTGGTGATGGCCGGAATGGCTTGAGACTGAAAACGAGACTTGGAAGGTGGTGATCCAATTCTCCTCGGCTGACACTGTGACTCAACTGCGTGTGCTTCTCTCGGACTGCCTTACCGCAAACAGCTGCAGAAGCTTGCTGGTCAGTTGCCGCATGTTTCTTCTCAGCTTGCGAGTGAAAACAAGTCATCCCATGGCACGGCCAAGCTGCACCTCCCCAGGAGTATTCTCACACACCCTGTTTTGCTTCTCGCTTCCAAAGTGTTCAGGGTGAACGAGATGTAGGGTTTCAGCCACAGACCTAGTGCTTGCTGTCAGAGGAAAAGAAGCCATGAAAGGCTTATATAAACTGTTTTGGAAAATCAAACATGAAGAGCTTGCCACGACCAAAAGGACACATCATCAGTCATTTCACGCGAATGGAATCAAGAACTGCTGTGACAAACCACGTGGATCCACTTCACCTAAAAGCCTTCTCTAACAGCTCTTTCCCCCGTATTTGGACGTCACCCGCACGGTGCGTCACCCGCACGGTGCGTCACCCGACGCCGCTTCGTGCCGGCATCGCGGTGAAGAGGCAAATGGATCTTCCTTCGGCGGGCGGAGCAGTGAAGTTTACCCAAGCACCTTGGAGACGAATTGAAGGAAGAAAACCCATGTGTTCTAGTCTTAGGTGTTCTTCTTTTCTACCTAACACTTTCACTTTTTCTAACTGAATACTCCGTGGGAGTTTGATCTTCTTGATCGATTCGAAGAAGTCATGGAGATTTGCTTGCCATGCATTGGATAAAACATGATAAAGCACTAGCAAGGTGAAAAGGAAGAAACACCTGAAACATCAACTTCCTCGAGCATCTCTCAGAAAAAAGTGATCCCGACATGGGAAATTGAGCACGTGACTGCCCAACCAAATTACATTAGAAAGGGTTGCTGTCTCGCTAAAGCGATCACTACACTCAGAGGGAGACGCCCGGTCCAAAGAATGGCGGAGGAGCGCCACGCCACGACCGAAACACAACACGTCGGCAACATGGATGGCGCACGGCAAAATATGGCGATGGTGGGTCCTTTGGATCGATTCCTCCCGCGCAGTTCACGCCCTCCGCATCTCTGTGGCGAATGAACAAATCACGCTTGATTGGCGCAAGCACACTAAAACAGCAAAGAACTTTGGAAGATGTGGTGTTCCAGTCGATTTTTTTTGGTTGGATGTGTTTTTCTTTGTGCCATGATGATTCATGTTAAAAATGTAAAAATCTGCACAAATCATCTGGATCCAACGGCCGCGATGTTCCAACACTTCACGCCAGGAAAGCCAACAAATCCTGTCAAACAAAGGTGGAAGGCAGACCTTCATCGGAATCGGACTCTTGCTGAAAAACAGCGGTTCTTCAAAAATGAAAAAATGCAACAACGACCCCAAACAATGTCTCTAAAAGTCTAAGGTGCGGAGGTGCCGAAGCAGAAGGTCTAGAGAGGTCTAAAGAGCACACATATGAAAGGACGTGTAAAAGCACGCGTGAAAGCACACACGAGAGCACGCATATGGGAGTGTACAAGCACACGCGTGACAACACTCACAAAGCGCAGCGCCTGCCACGAAATCTCCACTTCAACACTCACAGGGCGCCGTACCATGAAATCTGCACTTCAAGGTCCACAAAAGGTCTGCACCCGCCGCGTAACCTGTACTTCAAGGTCCACAAAGCACTGCACCTGCCACAAAATTTGAACTTCAAGGACCACAAAGCGCTGCGCCTGCCACGAAGTCTCTGCGCCACAAAATCTGCACTTGAAGTTCCACACAGCGCCGCGCCTGCCACAAAATCTGCGCATCAAGACTCACATCGCGCGAGGGGAAAAATGGATTACACAATTTTGAATGCGAAGCTCTGCCGTCGACGCTCACAACAGGGAACGCGATGGAAGTCAAATCGCCACGGCTTGGCGGGTCTGCCGCGTAAGATGGAGTGTCTGAAGCAAGTAAAGTGTACCACGATGTGTGAAATGCTTGCTTGTTTGTGCAAGCTTCGGAAATAGGTGTGTGATGCTTTAAAACTTTGTTAGGCAGCGCACTTTTCGAGCCGAGCGCTACGCGCGGTAAGTAGTTTGGGACTAGCAAACAGTTGCACATCAAATGAACTCCACATCTATACAAAATGGTGCGCACGTACACTTCAAAATGTTTTACACCCCGCCTAGATGCAATGCGTTCTAGCATCTGTATGGTCTAACATGACGGGTTGCATTGCCAAAAGTGTCTCTCTGCTAGGACACACTGAAAAAGGTCTAATGGCAATCACTATCTTGGATAGTTCCCGTTCCGGCGCTCAGCAATTTCAACAAAAGCTTTGCTAATTCTCTATGGTGCGTGGTTCAGACGCTTTCACGCCCATTGTATTGCACAAACCTGTTTGTAACAAATGCATCGTTGTACCATTGTATCGTATTGTATTGCACTGTGGTTCAGCTGGTTTCACAGGACATCCAAACAAATGACACGTATTGTACATTCCATCGTAAATCAATTGTTGTTTCCATCACGCGAGTCACTTTCTTCATTGTCACTGCTGAAATGATGTAACTCTTGCCAATATTCTGGATCACTGACTTCTTCGATGCCTGAGTAAATGTATCTCAGTCGACGATGCGATTCCGTCTCGCTGTCTTCAATCTCTTCCTCGTCAGCATCATTGGCTTCTCCCTCATCTTGATTGTGTTCTGTTGTATCACTGGGGAGATTTCGTCCGGGTACATTTGTAGCAGAAAGTATCCATCCGCCGCATCAAGATTTTCTCTCACTTGCTCATCCATTGCTGTCCCTGTCTGTCCACTTGATGTTGCTGCTTCTCCAACACAAAATTGTGTTGCAATGCTTTCACTCTCTGGTTCATCTTCTTCTTCGACATATGGTCCTCCTGATGATCCTGAGTCCGGCGAAAGGTCTGTCATGCCACGACACATCATATGAGCTCTTCTTCGAACACCTTCACTGTGATTTTGCTCCAAAATTCCAAGTTGCATCTCTAAAATATCTCTTCGATGATTGTATCGCCTCAATGTATTGTGGTCCATCTGTCGTCCACGACGCTCCATGCGCCTGTTCACCCTTCCAAGCATAAAGTACAAGAACCACTCCGGCAACCACGGATCCCACCTTGGAGGTGGGTCAATGGGAATTGGTGAAAACTGTGGGGCTCTCGGAGGTGGTCCTCTTGGTGGTGAGGTCGATGGAGGTACCGGACCTGTACTTGCACTTGCCGGCTCACCAGCCGGTCCTTCCGACTCTGTAGTTTCAACATTCATCTCACTGGCAGGGATTTCAGGTTCGCTGACAGGAATCTCAGGTTCCCGTCTTCTCTTTCTTCCCCGCCTTGCAAAAATCTCTGATATCACACGCCAATGTCCATACAAGAAATTGCAAGCACCCAACACTACAAGAACGATCAATGTCATCAACATTTGTGTCCACGGATCTTGACCAACTGTCGAACTCTCGGGACTGTCTTCGACACATCCTCTAAGACGAAGGGCTTGCGCCAGCATCGCCACCTGCACAACTTTTCTTGCGCTTTGTCCTTTCGTCCAACGGGTGATCTGCTGCACTTGTTGTTTCCACGTTTCTGCAGCCAAATGCTCCCAATGTTCAATGGCCGACAACTTCCAATACAATGTTGCTGTCACTCAATCGCACTGCTCCGAGATAATGTAAAAGGAAATTGCGCTTTGCTTCACTCAACTTCTTGGTGTTCAAATCAGCTATGTTCAACTTGGTTCCATTGGGTAGTACACTCAAAATCTTGTTCTTGATTGCGGATTGGAGCCAACACAACCGAACATCCACATGCTTCAAACGACCCAAACCAGATCTCTGAGGCCACTGTTGCTTCCAACAAACATGGTCTCTTCGTCAAAAATTCCCAAACACACTTCAACAAAGAGATTCACTGACTCCTGAGGTCATTGCCAAAATTTCTGCTTCGCAAGACGACAATGAAGTGCTCTTCTGTGTTCGTGAATACGACAAAAGAACAATCCATCTATCAACACCATCACTGATGTAGTCGACCTGCGTTTTGGTCCTCCAGCCCAATCTGAGTCACAGAAGACCTCCATACAATGTTCTTCGGATTCGTCAATTTCCTGCACATTGTTCAGTTTCATCACCATGCGTGTTCCAACCTGCTTCTCTGCTTGAACTGTGGGAACCTTCATACACGATGCTAGACTCTTCACGCAGAATTGGACATCCACGCGATCATGTGCCAGATACAACGCCATCCCCAATCCACTTCTGAATCTTGCTTGATCAGCTGGGGTGAGCTCTGGTGAACTGTCAACTTGATTCAGCAATGCATGTTCCGGTACACGTTTGGTCTTTCTGGAACCCACGTCATACAGCCTGAGCAAACTCTCAATGTACTCGGCGTTTGGTTTGGTGACAATGCCATCCACCTGAAAAACATAATTTTCTTGAGGTAGTTGATCTCTTCTCCGTCGCCCAATGCACCTTCAGGAAAAGGGCCTTCCACTTGCAATTTGTAAGTTCAGAAATCAACCAACATGCATCACCTGCTGCTTCGCTTGGCGCCATCTTTGTACAAGATTGGCTATGGTTCAGCAGCCGCAGATGAGTAACTAAGGTTCTCCCTGGGCGCTGTCCATCACCATTCTGCTACCTCCCGCCTGCCAGGGACAAGGAGCTAAGGCTCTCATCCCGGTAGGCTCACACATTCGTAGGTGATGAGGGCAAAATAGTGACTCTAGTTGGTCGTCGAAGACTGGCAAGCACTCAAGAGTGGGGGAAGAAACCTCTACGCAGACACTATGTGATGGGCAATCATAAGCCCTAGGATACTGCTTCTGTGAAATCTTCTCTCCACTGGTCTTTGGCATTCGGCGGCAAGAAACGGAGCCACGTGGGCTTGTCTAGTTGCTCGCAATTGTCAAAG